CAGATGTAGCACCATGGACGTGTGTCATTATCTGGGTTCCTGCAATCTCAAGAGGGAGCACTGTTAGAACACGGGGATACCCCGAGGGCACTAAGGAGAAGCAAGTTGCCCTGCCCAGTCCCTTCCCGCAAAGCGAACCGGCAGAATGCGTGGTGGCCCAGGCCCCAGGTTAGGGCTTGCTTCTCAGTCATGTGCGGGTAGGTGGCTTCCGAGACCCAGGGCTGACACGGTGCACCCGACAGACTGGTTCTAGCCTGGCCCCGGTAGCTGAGACCCCTGCCTTCATAGCAGGTCGCCCTAAGGTCTAGAGAGAGAAGGGGTTTCTTGCAGTCAGGGGATGGGTCCGTTGGTGCCCTCTGGTTCACATTTCATTTCTCTCTCTCCACCTCAGGAAGCCTTTCCCACATGAGGTCCTACTCACCTAAGTCGCAAAAAGGTCCCGCATAGCCTGCAGGGCAATGGCACAGTTGGTGGTCCTCCACGAGGAGACAGCTGCCCCCATTAAGGCACGGATTGATGCTGCAAGCTGGGGAAGGTGCAAACTGAGCCCTCCTTGAGTACATCACATCATACTACCCAGCCTTCTACCAGAGGCTCTTGCGTCTCTGTCCTCCTCCCCACAGTCCTTCCACACCCACTTACCCTGACTGGGCAGCGGTTTGCAGTGAGCATCAGGACCTTTGCACTGGCATCTGGCCACGCCTCCTGGCCCAGTTCTAAACCATATCTCATTCTCATGGAAGAACTTGAGAAGCTGAGCCTCAAAGCATTTCTCTGGGGACAAAAGAAAGCCAGTGGGACCATGGCAGAGCTCCAGGACTCCAGGGACCTCTTGCCAGGAGGTGGTTCCTCTTACCTTTCTGGCAATGTTTCCCAGTGAGGTGTTTAGGACAGAGACAATGCGGGCCATTGGGGGTGTTGACACATGTCCCTCCTTTGTGGCAGGGGCTGTGCTTGCTGCAATGGTCTGAGAGGTGGGACACAAGAAAGAATCACCTGGAGTCGGAATGACACATGTAGGGACCAATGCCCTGCCTGCACCTGCTTGTCATAGAACCATGGAACCCCAAGCTTCTAGACCCTTAAGCTCATCTGGACAATGGTGGCCTCTTTCCCCAGAATTCTTCCTCTGACTATTGAAAGGATGCTGTAGGAGAAAGGAAGGGGCGGGGCCCAGAATCCCGTCTGGCATCTGATGATACCGAGTAGCTATGTGGGAATGGATGGAGGAGCAGGGCACATGCAGCCTTGAGCCACCTGGGGCTGGCATGACATACCTTTCACTTTCTTGGGCTCCAAGCAGTATCCCCATTGCTGATCCTCATCAACGTTGTGTGTGGTAGCACACCTGGAGGTTAGATGACATTTTCCTGCATTGCCTGAGGCTGGCTAGACTAGCCCTGCTACACACACACACACACACACACACACACACACACACACACCTTTTCACCGTTTGCCCAAACACTTTCTTAGACAGCTAGGCAGAATCCCTTTCATCCAGGCCCCTCCCCTAACCCCTACTAGAAATTCTTACCAGGGCTGGGAGCCTGGCCGTCCTTTGTGGATGCATTTGTGGTGCAGGCGACGTTGGTACTGAAAGGGAAAGTGGCAGGGCTTCCCGTCCACAGTGAGAACTGTAGGAACACCACACCTCTGAGTCCTGCCCGGGGGCCCAGCTGCCCAAGCTCGGCCTCACCCAGGCTGGCTCGTAAAAAGGACAGCTATGCCTTCAAGGCTGCACCCTGCTTAGGAAGTTGCCTTCTAGAGTCAGACAGCTGAAATAGATATCTGACTTGGAGTCTGATCCTGAGTAAATCTGTGTGCTTGTCACAAAGTTGTGCTTATTAAAGATTTAGGTCACAGACATTTAATCTCAGCACTTGGAAGGCAGAGGCAGGTGGATCTCTGTGAGTTCAAGGCCAGCCTAGTCTGCAGAACAAGTTCCAGGGCAGCCAGGGTTATTACACAGAGAAAGCCTGTCTCCCTCTCCCCCTAAAAACCCCCAATACATACATACATACATACTACATACATACATACATACATACTACATACATACATACATACATACTACATACATACATATTTAGGTCACTTAACCATCTTTGGTTTAGTAAACTAGCAACAGTAATGCAGCTGCCAATCTTCATCATTCACTGACTTTACATTTGCAAATCTGCCTGCTTTGTAAACATTTATTTGTAACCCTCCAACCCAATACTTGTGATTGAGGTTGAGGATATAGAGCAGAAGTGTAGTGTTTGCTAACAAAACACCACAAGGCAAAAGAAAGCCACACAAACTGCCAGAGCTTGCAGTGCCTTCATGGTCTCTATGGAATTGTGTGGATCAGTGGAAGATGCTCGAACACACGTGTGCACATGCACGCACACACACACATATATATACACACACGTGTACATACACACATACACAACACATGGACACACACATAGACACACATACATGGACACACATGGGCACACACACACAAACATGCACACATGCGCACACATGCACACATGGACACACAGACACACACACATGGACACACAGACACACACACATGGACACACGTGGGCACACACACACAAACACACACACACACACACACACACACACTCTTTGAAGAGGGACAGGGTTTTAGTTCAGTGGCCAAACATCTGCCTGGCATACACAAGGCTCAATCCCCAGTACTTCGGGGACAAAGAGTGGTTCTATCTGTGTGCTCAAGTGTCACCTGGAGCTCCTACCTGCAAGAACACAAGAAGCTGTGGGCGCCTTATGAAGAAAATGTGTGAGGGACACCTTGTTCAGGTATCATCAATGGATCAACAACATGTACACTGAATAAGGTCTTTAAACAGAATCCATATGTAACAAGGTTACATGTTAATGGTTGATGAAAACGGCATAGCCAGAGGCTCACGGAACCTAATAGAATTTGTGAACTTGATGTTCAGGGTAGCTGTGAAGAATATAATTAATCATAAGAAAGAACTGTATTGGGGCTGTGAGAGGGTATGGAGGGAGAAAGGGGAGGGGGAACGCTGTGATTATATTATAATCTCAAAACGAAAATGAAAACGAAATCACTGTCTGCTTCAGGGGAACACCATGAGGCTTAGTGGCTATGCTTAGGACATTGAGTCCAGTGCCTACTATGTGCTCAACAATCATGTATTGCTTGTGTGTGTGTGTGGTGTGCGTGTGTGTGTGTGTGTGTGTGTGTGTCATTGTAGCAACAGGGTGATAAAAAGAGAGAGAGTCCTAGAACTTTAGGACAGGGGACCATTGTGGGGTCAGATTGAAATGGCAGGGTTTGGGGAAGAATGGGGGTGGGACCCTTCACCTAAGACAAATTTACCAAAAGTTAAGGATTTTTTTTTCTTGGGCTGGAGAGATGGCTCAGCGTTGAGAGCACTGTCTACTCTTCCAGAGGTCCTGGGTTCAACTCCCAGCAACCACATGGTGGCTCACAACCATCTGTAATGGGATCTGATGCCCTCTTCTGTCGTGCAGATGTACATTTGCATAGAGCACTCATAGACATAAAATAAGTAAATAAACCTTTAAAAAAAGAATTTTGCTTTCTTTCTTTCTTTTAATATTTATTTTATGTATGTAAGCACACTGTCACTGTCTTCAGACACACCAGAAGAGGGCATCAGATCCCATTACAGATGTTTGTGAGAATTGCTAGGAATTGAACTCAGGACCTCTGGAAGAGCACTCAGTGCTCTTAACCACTGAGCCTTCTCTCTAGCCCAAAAATTTTTTCTTTAAAATTGAAAAAAAAAAAAAGGATTTTTCCCTGAGTGCTGCAGATCAACCCCGGGTATGTGTGCCCGCTGGGTGAGCACTCTGCCGGTGAGCTCTGACCTGGCCTAAGAGCTGAAGTTTTAAGGCATTTTTCGGGCAGCAGCATCTAGGTGAAGTTCTTTACTAGGATGGGGAGCTCATGTCTCTTCAACAACCGTATAGTTTTATGGATGAGGAAGGAATGAAGCAGAGAGTGAACTCACAAGTGAGAAAGCTAGGGTTTCGAGACATTGGGTGATCTTGGGTGAGTCAGGAGCTCTGTTCTGGCTCCCATCACTCACTGAGTGTCTAAACTCTACCAGTTATGTCTGATGTTCTCCAGATGTGTTGAAAGGAAAGGGAGGAAGATGGGGGAACTGGGGAAGACTTGCTGGTTGTACGGGTGTGATGACATCACCGATATATCTCCCCACTGCTGAGTACCTGCCAGGCTGTAACACAGGCATCCAGGAAAGCCCAAGCCCTGCCCTCCAGGCCCACATCTGGATCTGCTATCATCTGATCTGATCGTAGGCACCCAGGTCTGGATGTCAGCAGAACACCTTTGATCAGAATCCCTCCTCTGCCCCAGAGGCCTGAGGCTGCCTGGAGACCATACAGGCTGAAGCACACTCATCCCCACAGAGTAGATTAGGAAGAAGAGCCAGGTCACTTACCCACAGTGGGCCCGTCAGCTCCGTCCTTGAACTCCTTGGAGCCTTTCCAGGGTGGACCCTACCGGAGAGAGAAGGCCAGAACATTGCCAACAGTGTCAGACTTTCCTTGATCCAGTATCAGGCCTCAACCTCCTGCCACCTCCCCGAAGTACAGGATTTCCTCACAAAACGTGGCCTTCCTCTCTCTTCTCACTGTCTCCCCCACAAATGTAGTCTGTGTCCTCATAGCCACCAGCATGGACTGCTACCTCCTTTGTTTGGGCCTTCTGAGCTGGCTGTGCCTTCCCCCCACACAAGTCTCTCAGACACCTGAACTAGCAGGTGACAGGCAGAGTCCAAAGCTGGAACAGGCCATCACCGACACTCTGGTCCAATCCCAGTGTCCACAGTCCTTACCGCAAGTGTCAAATCCAGACTCATCAGCAGAGACCCCAGGAACAACAGAGCTGTCATGGCGTCCGTCGATGGCCCTGCTGCCTGACCAGGAATGAAGATCAATAGATGTGGGCAAAGGTCTCGGAAGCCTCGGAGGTGGAGAGCAGTCAAGCTCCCTGTTGAGCCTGAGGCACAGGCTTCATGGAAAGCCCAGCAGAACAGCGCTGTAGAACCCTTGTGAGCAGGGAGTTGACTGGGAGGAGTGGAGCACTGAAGAGCTGGGTTCCTGCCCCCCTCTCCTGAGCAGGAGGACATTGATTTTACTAGGATGGTGTTCCAGGTCCTGTTGAGGGTAAGGTAAGAATGACTGAAGAAAAGCCTGCTTACACAATCTTACAGACTTTCATGAAGCATGCTTGCTTCCTTCTGCTGCGTGACCAATTACCACACTCTGATCACCCTAAAACAATGTCCCCCTAAAACTATGTTTATGGATGCACAGACCCATGGGTAAACACTTGGTGCTGCACAGTTGTCTGCCCAGAGGATCAGAAAGCTGAGGTTCAAGGCGAGGACTCTGGAGCTTCTGAAGTGAGATTCCCCTCCCAATCCCGGGCAGAAATTACTTCCATGTGCCTGCAGGACAGATGTCCCAGCTTCTTCTTAGCTGTCGGCCACGGCTACGTGTGATTCCTACATTTCTGGCCACCTGATTCCTCTAACTTTAAAGCCACTGTCAGGGCTGGAGGGGTGGCTCAGCAGGTATAGACACTTAAATCCAAAGGATCCAGGTTCTATTCCCGGCTACCTACATGATGGCTCAGAACTGTCTGTAACTCCAATTCCAGAGGATCTGACACTCCTGGCCTCTTCTGGCCTCAGGCATGCACATGGTACATAGGCATGGATGCAGGCAAGACAGTGTATGCAGGCTAAGCAAATTAATTTTAAAAATTAAAAACAATAAAATAGAGCCCGGAGCAGAGAATTCCCCTGTATTGAATTGCCTCGCACTTTGTGTCTCCTTGGCCAGAAAAATTCTGGTCCCTTTTCAGGGCTCATCTGACTAGGTCAGGCCCATCAAGGATACTCCCATGCGAGTACATGGTGGTACATGCCTTTAGTCCCAGGATGTAGAGTTCCAGGCCAGGTCTACATAGTGAGTTCCAAAACAGTCAGGGCTATGTAGCGAGACCCAAAATGGGCCCTTAATTACATTTGCAAAATTCTTTTCCTTCTGAGATACTATGTTTCTCAGGTTAACCTTTAATTGTGATTCTCCTGCCTGCTTCAGCCTCCCTAGTGTCCTGTGCCACAATGGTCAACTACATTGGCAAAATGCTCTCACAAACGGACTGGGGATGTGACTCCTCAGTGGAAGCATGTGACCCAGTGGCAGAAAGCTAGTCTAGCATGCATGGGTTCGATTCCTGGCACCTCAAGAAAATGTTTTACAAAGTAACCTCAATCACGGTTAACTTGGGTCACTAGGAGCAGGCAGAAATACGTGGGGATGAAGAACTCTATCATCTCAGAATTGTACTCTTTCCGGAGCCAAGTGCTAAATCAAAGGACATTGCCTTGCAGCCACAGAGCTGGGAGGGAGATGGGGAGTGGGGGACTGCGGCTTTTCCTAAGCGGCATTCATCTTGCTCAACAAGAACCCTCCCTCGTGGGTTTCCAGAGTTGCCAGCGGAACCCTCTCAGTTCAAGAGCCAATCAGAGCATGGCATCTCTAGACTACAACTCAGAAATAGGGTTTCCTCTGCCTCCTGAATGCAGGGATTAAAGGCATGAGCCACCAGGCCCCGCCCCCCACCCCAAGGGTCCGGGATTGTTGGTGTGCATCTATCACTGATCCCGGACAGTCTGAAAAGAAAACGCCAAGCGAACAGGGAAGGGAGGATGGAAAATCCTCATAGGTGATTTCTTTTTTTAGACGATGAAGGCAGAAGGTAACAGGTTGCCGATGCTGTGGGAAGAGAGGAAGGCTGTGGTCAGCTTCGCAAACAGAAGGCCGGAGGCACGGGGCACTTATTCAACTTTTGGCTTCAAAAGGAACTTTTGGTGACTGCCACTAGGACATGAAGAAAGGGTTATGGGTCTGGGGTCGTTCAGAGACTCACCAGTCTGACCAGTAATAAATTTTAACAAGGAAGAGGCTTTTCTTCAGATACTACCTCCAGGTCTATATTGGCAATTTTGGATTCCCTAATGCTGCCACCCTAATGCCGAGCCACCTCAGTCAGGGGTTTATAAAGGCAAAGAATACAACCTTACGATTTGTTCTAGTGCAAGCAGAGGGTCCTCTGGAGCAAAACAAGCTTGTTTATAGAAGCCGAAACAGTAGTAAACAAAACAAAACTAAGCCTTAACAGTCCTTAACATGTGGAGGTCTAATTTCGCTTTATAGTTTTCTTAAGCACAGACGTTTTAAACTTTTAAACATAAAGTTAGCAGTCATCATAATGTTAGCCTTCACAAAAGTCAGACTGAGTCACACAGTAGAGCTGACCAAAGTGAAAGAACCCTGTTAGTCCCGGGTTACACCAGCGCAGACCTTGGCGGGGGACCTGACCCTGTAACCACCTCCTCCTGGGGGAGGGCCAGTCCTGTAGGGAAGAGGAACTGGTTTGTACCATAGAGGGCGTGGTTTGTTTTTTTGTTTTGTTTTTGAGAGAGGGACTTGGTCTAGGCTGACCCAACTTTTCAATTTCCCTGCTTCCACCTCCTAACTGGGGTAATGATAGAAGTGTATCACCACAGCAATCGAAGAGAGTTTTACAGTTGAAAGGGAGGGGAGGGCTTCAAGGTTATGCAGGAGCCTAAATTCAGCCAGTCAAAGGTGGACTGTGGTGAGCATGGGGTTCCATGTAGGAAGTGGGGTGTTGGATTATGAGATGCATGTGTAGGGAAAAAGGTCCAAGCTCACTTCAGGATCCGAAAACTCACCAAACCCCACCAATCCCTGAGCTCAAGATTTCACCAATCCCCTTTCCGGAAAACTCCACCCCCAAGAAACCCTGTATAAAGCTTGCCTCGGGCTCTGTTCCCTGCTGCTCCTCCACCACCGAGAGGCAGCTACCCTCTTGTATCTCTCCCAATAAATCTCTTGTGTGAGGTTTGTTGTGCAGTGTGACATTGTGATGTTCCTTGGTTACTAAACCCAGGATACCTTTCTCCTCAGAGCTATAACACACCATGGACCAATGGTGGATGTTCCTGGGCATTTGGGGGCCTACTGCCTGTCATAGTGACAAAACTAAAGGCACTAGCCACCATGCTTGGACCTTTTGACTTTTTTATAATCATGCTATTATCTCTATTCCCCCTCCCTTAAGATCCTTTTTTCCTCTCAGGATTCTCTTTCTAGCTTTAACACACATGCACGCACACACACACACACACACACACACACACACACGGGCACACACACGGGCACACACACACATGCACACTTTTTAACATATAGATTCCGTATAGGAGCGAAACAAGATATCTAGATGTATGTCTTTTTGAGTCTGGGTTAGCATAGTGATTTTAGTTGTCTCCATTTTCCTGCAAATGTCATGGCTTTGCTGCTCTTCCCAGCTGGGTTGTATACACAAACCACATTCTCTTCATCTGTTCATCTCTTGATTCCCTTTCTTGGCTGTTGTGGCTACTGCAGTTATAAACTTGAATGCTAAGTATCTCTGTGGTATGTTGACACAGAGTCCTCCAGGAACCCCAAGTGGTGTAGCTGGGTCATCCGGTAAATCTATTTCCAGTTATTTGAGAAACCCCCATACCGGTTTCCGTAGTGGCAGAACAAATTTACATTTCTACCAGCAGTGAATAGAGGGAGCTTCCTGTTTCTCTGCTTGCACAGCATCATCTGGTGTGGTTTGTTTTCTTGGTGACAGCCTTTCTGACTGGGGTGACAGAACCTCAAAGCAGCCGTAATTGTATTTCAGGATGAACTAAAGGTGGTGTGTGTTTTCCTTTGTAGTTATTAGCCAGTTACACTTTTTCTTGTGAAAATTGTCTGTTCAGTTCATTAACTCACTGACTTGATGGTTTGTTTCACTGGTGTGTAGTCTGGTGGTTATTTCCTTTGCTATGCAGAAACATTTTCAAATTTATTTTATTTATTTTTTGTTTGTTTATTTATTTGAGATAGGGTTTCTCTGTGTAGCCAAGGCTGTCCTGGACCTCTCTGTGTAAACCAGGCTGGCCTCAAACTCTTATGACCTGCTGCTTCTGCCTCCCAAGTGCTGGGATCACAGGGTGTACCACCATCACCCTGCTTTCATAAACCCTTTATTTTTCACTTAATCTCATTTGTTGGTCCTTGGGGTATTTCCGTGCTAGTTGTTTTCAGAAAGCCCTAGCCAGTACACATATCTTAGTTTAACCTACATCCTGTAACAAAATCAAAGTTTTAGGTCTTCTATTCCAGTCTTTGATCCATTTTGAATTGGTTCTTTCCTGGTTTTCATGGCTCTCGGTGTGAAAATCTTCAGGCGGACTTCCTTTATGGTCACACGATGGCTGCCGAGGTTCTAAGAATCACATGTAAGCTCACTCACTGCTGCTCAGGTGAGGAAGCGCTGTCCACTTCAGCTGCTTCTGAGAAATGAGGAAGACTCCACAAAACTGTTAAGCAGAAGCTGGACTCGGTGGAGCACACGGGAAGCAGAGACGGGAGGTTCAAGATCTCTCAGATAGCTGAAGCAAGAGCTGACAAGACAGCTCAGAGGGAAGGGCACCAGGTCTGAGCCGGAGGTTCCACATGGTAGAAAGAGAGAACAGAAAGGACTCTCCCAAACTGTTCCCTGCATGGCATGTGCACTCGCACGCGCGCGCGCGAGCAAACACACACACACACACACACGCATACACACACACACACACACGCACATACACACACACAAAAGAAAAGAAGGAAGAACAGCAAACAAACCTCTCCTCACAGCTCATTGGCCACACTTGGTCACATGACACCCTTAAACCATCTCTAGCAAGGCCAAGGGGAATTCCCACAGCTGGCTTAGAGCAATTCATCTTGGAGCTAGATTAGAGAGCTCTGAGGTTTAGTAGGCACTGCAGACAGGGCAGAGAGGCCTGGGATGGCATCTCAGCCACAGGCACCTGCTCCTCTGATCCTCGTGCTTCCTGCCCTCCCGTGGACCGTATCCATTCCGGTTTCACGTTATTACCTCCGATTGACTCTGTGAACCCTGCAGGCTTACTAGTGAATTCCCTGCTGTTTACGGAGCCATTGCTTGTTTGCAGAGCGGGACTCCCTCACTTCTGTATGTGTCACACCTGACTAATACCCAGTTTTATTTACCCTACTGCCTGGAAACAGTCACGTGTCACTTGGCAGGGACACATCCCCAGAGACATGCGTTGGTAGCTGATGGTCAATACGTGAATGCCACAGAATGTCCTTGTGCAAGCTAAGACAGCCACTAAGTCACTAGCTCACAGACTCTGAAGGGGTCCTCAACCAAAACACTGTCATGGAGTACATAACTGTGCCCCTCCCCCATTCCCAACTTTGTGTGTGGGGGAATGTGTATATCTCTGTGTGGTGCCCATGTTCCCACGTGTGAGGCCAGTGGTTGATGTTAAGTTTCTTCCTCAGTCACTCTCCTTTTTATTATTATCATTATCTTATGAGATAGGGTCTCTCTCTCCAGCCTTGGCTGTCTTGGATCTCATTATGTAGACCAGGCTAGCCTGAAACTCTCTGAGATCTTCCTGCTCTGCCTCCAGAATACTGGGATCAAATGTGTGCACCACTACCACCAGCTTGCCTTTTTTTTTTTTTTAAAGATTTATGCTGGGCAGTTGTGGCGCACATCTTTAATCCTAGCACTTGGGAGGCAGAGGCAGGCAGATTTCTGAGTTTGAGGCCAGCCTGGTCTACAGAGTGAGTTCCAGGACAGCCAGGACTACACAGAGAAACCCTGTCTCGAAAAAAACCAAAAAAAAAAAAAAAATTGTAGGCTGGATTGATGGCTAAGTGGTTAAGAACACTAACTGCTTTTCCAGAGGTCCTGAGTTCAATTCCCAGCAACCACATGGCGGCTCACAACCATTTGCAATGGGATCCGATGCCCTCTTCTGGTGCGTATGAAGACAGCTGCAGTGTACTCATATACATAAAATAAATAAATCTTTTTTTAAAAAAAAGATTTACTTAATATATATATATACTATATATATACTTATGCACACCAGAAGAAGGAATCAGATTCCATTACAGTGCAGATGGAACTCTGGACCTCTTAACTGCTGAGCTGTCTCTCCAGGCTGCCGTGGGTTGTTTGTTTGTCTTAATGCATGTGTGTTTATATGCATGTGTGTGCAGGTGTCTGCAGAGGCCAGAAGAGGGTGCCAGATCTTCTGTAGCAGTCACAGGTTGTTGTGCCTGGCATGGGTGTTGAGAACTGAACTTGGCAAGAACTGCGTTCATAACTGAGGAGAGGTCTCCCTAGCCCTTTCTCTTTTGGGGACAAGGTCTCTCAGTGAATCTGGAGCTCACTGAGTCAGCGAGTCCCAGGGACCCTCCTCTCTGCCTCCTTAGTGCAGGGGTTACAGGGGATGCCACACCTGGCTTTTTGAATGAGCGCTGGAGATCTGAGCTCAGATCCTCAGGCTTCCTTGAACAACAAGCACCTTACCCACCGAGCCGGCACTCCAGTCCACGACTGACTGGACTTTCAAACTTCTCCATCTTTATTTCTACAGCCCTCCCTTTGAGTTCCAGGAAATTAAAGGTGGTCCAGGCGCTGGTGCTATCGAGCTGGAGCTCTGTCTGTGGAAGGTTGTACGTTTGTCTGTCTGCGGAGTATTGTGCATACATTTGTGAGCCTGGAAACGTTGGCATCTCTTTTAAACATCTCCAGCAGAGAATAAACACAACAGATTAAAAACAAAGATGGGGGCTCCGGGGTGTAGCTCAGCAACAGGGCACTTACTGAGGTTCAAGGCCTTGGAGTTTGGCCCAGAATGGCTAAAACCAAACAAAATGCTCAAAGGTGGAGTCAGATACAGGATAGAGATTTTGAGTGACACAGCCTTTGAAACCACGCCTCCAGAGACACTTGAATTCAGGAGCACCTGTGTCTTGCAAATTCTTTGGAAGGTAGATGCCCTTTTTGATTATGGCGATCTTATTTAAAATCAGATGTTGCCAGGCGGTGGTGGCGCACGCCTTTGATCCCAGCACTTGGGAGGCAGAGGCAGGCAGATTTCTGAGTTCGAGGCCAGCCTGGTCTACAGAGTGAGTTCCAGGACAGCCAGGGCTACACAGAGAAACCCTGTCTCAAAAAACCAAAAAAAAATAAAAAATAAAAAATAAAATCAGATGTCTTAGCTCATGCAAGAGTTTGAGATGCACTAAGTAGGTTGAGGCTTATAAACGATGCCCTTGGGAGAGAGTGGGTGAGAACCACAGGGGTGGGAGAGGCAACCTGGGGTCCCATTAGGCCCAATGCCCACTGCATGCTCCTGGGTCAAGGGTCAGCCTCTCTGACCCTTGACTTTCGGGGATCCTTTGGAAAGAGTGGGTGCTGCCACTGGAGGGATGTTGCTTGGGATGGAAACACACAGGGGAGGCAGAGTCTGGTCATTGTTCCCCCCACTGGAGAATAGAAAAGCTTTACCACACGGTCACACTCTCAGCCACTGCTACACTTGTCTTCTTTTCCCTCTGAACATTTAGTTTTCTTCCATCCCCTGCTGTGGACCAGGGCAGATAAAAACCCGCTCTGTGTCTTGGCTTCTTTCCCAGCAAAGCCGGGCTGGGGGCTCACGGAATGGAAAACACCAAGGTCTTATTCTTAGACGTCTGATACTCATGAACATGCAGAGATCGAGTAACCTTAGGCTGGCTTTGAACCCTCACGCCTCCGGCCAGGCCCTCTAAGCAGGATTACAGGCCCGGGCCATACTTAGCCCCATTCTCTTTCAGCAGAGACTTGGGGTATGAGGACGTACTTGTTCAAAAGGAATTTGGGGGATCAAGCAGAACCCAGTCCATCGTCCTCCACACCTTGGCCCCGTTACTTCCCCAGTCACCCTGCTTGACATAGTGAAGCCTGCCAAGAAGCAGCTCTCCTTTCAGC